TCTCACTGTCCATTGTGGCTCATTTTGTTTCTCGAACTGCAGGTTGCAAAGAGTCTAAAATTTCCTCTGGCAAAGTATTTATATAGAGGAGGATGATATAGAAGATGTCTGTTCATGTTAAAATGATTTTGCATGTCAAGCAAGAGCAACATGTGAACATGATGCAGTCGACAATGCAACATCACCTAACCAACCCCTGTGGCATGGTGAATGTACGATTAAGACTCTACCTATATTTATCTCACTCATTATTGTATACTCAACGGTAAAAGGCTAAAGTGTAAGTTGATTGGTTGTACTCCATGAAGAACAATTAAACAGTATCATCTATCGAAATACCCAAGCCATGAGTTCTTTGATTTTTCCTGTGTAAGAGTCTAAGCTAGTCCATTACTTTGCAGCATTGACTTCAATATTGTTAAAATACCTGCATTTGAGACCTATATATGTGGGAGACATTTTTAAGATGGATGTCTCATTGTCGTAACCCTTGGAATCGCTGAATCCTAGTGCTACCTTTCTCTAATTGGATTTGTTTCTTGATTTTTAGAGGAACAGTAGCTACAGTGTCAATTGACTGAATTTGAACGGATTAAAATGAGTTGAGCTACTAAATAAACGGGCAATTAACCTGTCCAAAGGTGACTTGCTCTGTGATGAAGTCACGCTTGTGTATTTGGGGTTTTTTCCTTGGTTAAATTGGTTAATAAATATGTTCTTTCTTGATACATAAAGGGCGAGAATGACCTGGAAGACCCTTATACTTGGCTCCGTTTGTCACCTAGACCATTCTACTCACGACTTTGCCAACTAAACACTTAGGGGTCGTTTGGTACAAATATTGATAACGCAGGGATTAGTAATGTAGGGATTAGTAATGCAGGGATTAGTAGTGCAGGGATTATTTTTTGTCAAGCGTTTGGTTCATTGATTCTCACTTAATCTTGTGTTTGATTTAAAACTCTACAAAAAAAATCTTTCCTATTATATCCTTGTGTTATTATGAGATTGTTTATTTCATGTAATTGAGTCAAGGTAGATAATCGGACCATAACACTACAATAATTTTTTTTTAGAGAATAACAACAAAGAAAAAGTGTGTTATATAAATTGAAACAATTTTTTTTCTTTTTTGTGCATAATTAATAACAAGAATTTAATACTATGCAACAGTTGAATAAAATTCATAGTAAAAAAAAATGCTAAATCTTTATTTATTTATTTTTACAAATTTTAACCTGTATAATTATTGTATATGGCAACCGGATGTTGACAAAAAAGTTTAAACTTATCAAAAATGAAGATCTAAAAATATACTTATACAATTTTATACCAAAACCCGGATAATAATTAATCAAAATTGTTGTGGGACAATATTGTTTTTTTTAGGATTTTCTATTTCATTTAACTAGTTACGTTAAACATATGCATACATATACATACATATACATATATATATATATATATATATATAAATTGAGGTATGACGTACCACTTTTTTTTGTTGGTAAAGTATATCTTAAACTTAACATAGATTTAAGACTACTTATATTGTTCAATAGTTAAAGCTTATTAAAAAAAATAATTCCAAGTGATTAATCGACGAACTACATTGAATAAAAAAAAAGGAGAAAAAAATATTAATGAAATCATTAAATTACACTAAACGGATTTGGAGAATTAAAAAGAACATTTATAATTATTTCAATATAAATAAAAAGAAAATTAAATTATAAAAGAAATTTAGGAAAATAAATAAAGGGATAATTTTGTCATTTAGGGGTCTTATCCAAGGTTTAACAAACCTTGGATTAGTTATCCCTCCATTTACTAGGGATAAAATAAGACCATATATAAGGTATAAGCAATCCATGGATTAAATAAAATAATGCAACCAAACAATGTATTAGATGGATTAAATTTTAATCCATGGATTATTCTATTTAATACCTCCTACCAAACGAGTCCTTAAGTTATTAAAACACACTATTTTAAACTCCTTTGACTGTTGACTAAGCTTATGTGGTGTTTTTTGCTGAATCAGATCAAGAGAGTGGTTACACGTATTTAAAAGCAAGTGAAGACAACTATTTAATTTTTTTTAAAAAAAAGAATTTAAAAAAAAATCCCTTTCCCAATATGTTGTACGTTTCTTCTTCTTCCTCAAAATTTCACCCAACCCCAATCATCACCACACACACATCTTCTTCAATCTCTTCCAATACTCTTACCCACAATTCTTCATCTTTCTCTTCCCATATGCTACCTATCATTTGAGAGTTCTGTAATGATTGAGAAAAAGATATTTATTTAGATTTGGATAAAAGAGAGGGGGGCAAAGAGGTTCTAAATTGTGAAATAGATGCGGATTTTAGATGGGTTTTTGAAAGACATGTTTGAGATTCTTTCTAAATGTAAGACAATTTTATTGAGAACATTTTTGATGAGTTTTCTATAATGACTCATTTTTTGTCTCCTTCTCTTCTTTCTCTCATCCTCTATTTGAGTCACTTTATTTCTCATCACCATTAAAATAGCAAAATTTATAAAAAAAACATAACAAAGCTTTGTTTATCTCTAATTCATCTTCAACGTAAAAAATTCACTAGGAAAGAAAAAAAATGAATGATTAGTAGCAAAATAGATGGAAAATATGAGAAGAGAAGAAAAAATGGAAAGAGATCAAGAAAGAAAGGATTTTGGAGATTAGTTTGAGATTTCTTTTTAAAAAATATTATTTGTAATAAAAAAAATGATGTGGCAATATATTTCTGATGTGGATAGTGAGGTGTTATCCACATTAGCGCGATTGGGAGACACATGATCAGAGGGGTTTTAAATATTATGTTTTAATAACTTTAAGTGTTCAATTGACAAAATCGTGAGTAGAAAGGTCCAGGTGACAAACGGAGCCAAGCACAAGGATCTCCCAGGTCATTCTGCCTACATAAAATGATCAAACTAATAATTTGTGTACTATTATTTATATCAACTAAATAAGATTTAAATGTCAAATATCAATATCATGTCATTGTAACATACATGAAATTTCCAGACAAATATTGCTATTATAATGAGGTTTGAATTGTATTACTTGATCTCGTAGGATTTTTTGTCAATAACATTTAGCTTTATCACCTAAATTATTAGTAGGAGACAGTTGCACCAATCTCAGAAAGAGAAAAAAAACAAGGAACTTGGTGAAGTGACTTAACCAAATCAAGAAGATTATTTGCTAATCCATCATATAATTAGAAGTTTCCTTTAGTTTGTTATTTTTCTCAATAGAAAAATAAACATTTGAATACTTTTGAACTTAATGTAAATTATTAATTTGTCTTTAAATTATTAACAGTCTTAAAAATACACCTTTACTTGACTAATTAAACTTAGATACACCCTCAACATGCAACATGACATAACAAGTGATTTGAAACTCTAGTAAGAGCATGTGATTTCTTAAATAAAAAATTGAGAGAAGTGTCAAAAACACCTCTAAACTTGATGAGAATTTAGGGGTATATTTCACTCATGTTGCAAGATCGTGGAGGTTTATTTGCGTTTAGTAATTAGTCAAGTAAAGGCCGTATTTTTAAGATTATTAACAGTTTGAAGATGAAACTAATAATTCATATTAAATTTAGGAATATTTTCAATACTTCTCTCGACATTTTTTCATTTTCTACTCCAATAAAAAGAATAAAAAACGAGGTAATTAAGATAAGAAATTGTGAGTTGACTTCATGAAATAACATTCGATGCCTGCAGAATCTATCTACACTTTGCATTTGCATGAAGAAAGGCTCCATTTCCCAATCAATTGGCTAAGGTTTTGTTCTGCTCAATAAACCCTCTGAACCTTTGACTTTTTTTTTTTAATTTCCCACAACCAGAAAACCATGACAGTCCTTATATATATGATAATTGACTTTTGCTCTTTTATGTCGATTCTTCCATTCAAGATACTCAAAGTCAACTCTTGTTTCATTTATCACTTTTACATATCCATTTTATATTTTGTACGTTTCTTAAGAAACAATAACTAATAGTATAAATATTTCATCACAATATTTATTATATTAATTGATGTATAGTCTTAAGTCTTAAAAAAAATTGGGGAATAATTAAGTAATTAATGCCGAGGGTAAAAATAAATAAATAATTACTATATTTTATTGATACGTTAAAAGTGATAAAGAAAAATAAAATCTATTTTTAGAAATAATGAACAAGTAAAAGCGAACATAAGGATTGATAAATTTTACTACATTAGGTTCATATCATCCATCCTTTCAAATAATAGACCTTTTTTTATAACAACATTTCTTTATAACAATCAAATTTTCTTTAAAACAATCATTAATATTACATTACATCAGGGGCAAAGCTAAATGGGAGTTTGGACGAACCCAATAACTTTTCCGTAGATCTGATATTTATATTAGAAAATTAATTAAATATATATATATATATATATTAACTTGTGAACAAAATAGATTGACGGCTCATTGGTGAGGAATAGACCGTGTGGAAATTCTTTCCATGTTGGAGTTATGGATTCAAACTCCCTTAAAAGGAAGCATGTTTTGTAATATTTTTATCTTCTCTCCTAAAATTCAGAACCTTGAAACTCCTAATCCCGACTCCACCGCTGCATTACATTATATATTCTCTACAATAACATTTCGCTTTTCGCTATACCAATCAAAGTTTCAAAATTCAGACAAATAACGTCATTATAAAGAAAGATATTATATTTGTAATGGTAAAAATGGTTTTTTTTTTTTTAAAGTTAGATAAGTGTCACGTAACGTGAGGTACTTGACTATAAATTTGTTGTTGGCAAGTCGTTCACCCAACACTTAACTATTTTACATGATCACACTCTCATGTTCCATTTATAGTTTAACTAGTTTTCCACAAGTTATATAAAATTTTCACCCCTAAAACCTCCATAACTAAAACTATGGGAATCTACATTGTTTTTTTAAAATTTTTTTTTTTCTCTTTCTCCAAACTTGCTCAACTAATTTCATTCAATGCTTCAATTTAAAGTCCACCTCTTTTCTCTGCACAAATTAGTTGGGAAGAAAGCTTTTCTATAGTGGTATTTCACTTATTGTCCTTTTGCTATGCATTTATTGTATCAAAAAAAAATTAGATGGTGAAATTCAAGAAACAGTCTGTCACTTAGTTATTACTACTCAATTCTACTTCAACTACTATAATTAATTCTCTTTTCCTATAAATTCTCTTCATTTTATATCTTTTTTCTACTACTCCATACAATTTTTTTTTTTATAATAATCATATGGATATTGCTATAGCTTTGTTCTTGTTTAGTTTCATAACATGTTATCTGCTATGGTTCACTTTCATATCAAGATCTTTAAAGGGTCCACGTGTCTGGCCCTTATTGGGCAGTTTACCGGGTTTGATCGAAAACTCGGAACGTATGCATGACTGGATAGTAGACAATCTCCGCGCGTGTGGTGGCACGTACCAGACATGCATATGTGCAATACCCTTTTTGGCTAGGAAACAAGGGCTCGTGACGGTCACGTGCGACCCAAAGAATTTGGAGCATATATTGAAGACCCGATTTGAGAATTACCCGAAAGGTCCGACTTGGCAAGCTGTTTTTCATGAGCTGCTTGGACAAGGGATTTTTAATTCTGATGGTGACACGTGGCTTTTTCAAAGGAAGACGGCTGCGCTCGAGTTTACTACGCGAACGTTACGCCAAGCTATGGCCCGATGGGTTAATCGGGCCATACAGCTTAGGTTTTGTCCGATTCTTAAAACGGCTCAGGTTGAAGGGAAGCCGGTTGATTTGCAAGATCTATTGCTTCGGCTTACTTTTGATAATATTTGCGGCTTGGCTTTTGGTAAGGACCCGCAGACGTTGGCTCCCGGCTTACCCGATAATACGTTTTCATCGGCTTTTGATCGAGCCACGGAGGCGTCGCTGCAGCGGTTTATACTGCCAGAAGTTGTGTGGAAGCTGAAGAAATGGCTTGGGCTTGGAATGGAAGTCAGCTTGAGCCGAAGCCTTGTACAGCTGGACAAATACATGTCTGACATCATCAATACACGTAAGCTTGAGTTGATGAGTCAGCAAAAAGATGGAAATCCACATGATGACTTGTTATCAAGGTTTATGAAGAAAAAAGAATCATACACGGACAAGTTCTTGCAACACGTGGCACTTAATTTCATCCTAGCTGGACGTGACACGTCATCGGTCGCGTTGAGTTGGTTTTTCTGGTTGGTCATTCAAAATCCAGTAGTTGAACAAAAAATCTTACAAGAAATATCCACGGTCTTGGTTGAGACACGTGGCAGTGACACGTCATCATGGCTCGAGGAGCCGTTAGCGTTCGAGGAGGTTGATCGGCTAACCTACTTGAAAGCTGCATTGTCGGAAACTCTCCGGCTCTATCCGTCGGTGCCGGAGGACTCGAAGCACGTGGTGGTCGATGACGTGTTGCCGGACGGGACATTTGTACCGGCTGGTTCGTCAGTAACATATTCAATATATTCAGCCGGAAGAATGAAGAGTACATGGGGAGAAGATTGTTTAGAATTCAAACCCGAAAGATGGTTAACCCTAGACGGTAAAAAGTTTGTTATGCATGAACAATATAAGTTTGTGGCATTTAATGCTGGTCCAAGGATATGTCTTGGGAAAGACTTGGCATACTTGCAAATGAAGTCGGTGGCGGCAGCAGTATTGCTCCGCCACCGACTCACAGTGGCTCCAGGCCATAAGGTGGAGCAAAAAATGTCGTTGACGCTTTTTATGAAAGACGGACTTAAAGTAGATCTTCATCCAAGAGACCTCACACCATTCGTGAATAGTGTAAAAGAGGTGCAATTAATCCAAATATTGAATGGGGACAAAGATGAATGTTCATAATTATGGAGAGAGAGGGAGTGGGGGTAGTTGAGGTGGATTAAAGAATGGTGTTGGAAAATATTGATTGTAAGCTAAGTATAGTTGAATTGGTTGAGGTTATTATGGTGGTTGAATTCTCACATGAATGCTCTTGGTATTCATGATATTAAGGTACATCATCACATTCATTGTGGGAGAAACTTTTTTTTGTTTTTAATTTATTTGTGGGTGTTAGTGGAACAGCTGGAAATGATTTTGAGGTTGAAGAGGAGGGACATTTCTCAATAATTTTTTATTTTATTTTTACTAGTAATAAGTTGTACAAGTACTAGCTAGAACTTTCTTTTTTTGCTTTATAATTAATTATTCTAGTATCCTAAAAGCTGACCCCCTTTATTTGTTCATTTTACTTTGGTTGGTTGTTTACCTTCAATTCTTTGTATTTTCTACTTTTTTTTCACTCTTTTTTGGTATGTGAATTCTTTTGTATCTTGTTAAGATTTTTGAATTATGGTGTTTCTTTTTTCTATTTGGAAGATCGTACTGAATTGCTTAATTCAATTTTCTTTTTCTTTGTCAAAATTATATGACATTTGCAACCAGAATTTGAAGGTAAAATTCGTTCAAAATTCAAATAGCAAGTCTCATGTTACATGGAATTGAAACTCCAAAAGGATGCAAAATATTAAAGGCTTGAGGGGTGATAAAATTATGGTTTACTAAGTTACTCTTATTTAATAAAGGTAAATTGTTTTTTTCTCTCTTTAATATTATGCATACTTCTTTAAAATTAAGGATATAATTAGAAACGAAATTATCAATTTTTTTGAGATAAAACAACAGTTAAAATGGGATGGATGGAGTATATCACAATCTCATAGTCTTTTCCTAATAAATTCAACTCTATTTCTTTCCAGGAACTAGCAAAATCCTTTTTCTTGTGTGCACGTAAGTGAAAGTAAATATAAATTAATAACTGTGTGCACGTAAGTGAAAGTAATTCAAAGTGTTAATTTGAAAATTGTGTACTACTATCCTATCTCAAGTTTCGTAAATTTTTCAGTGTTCACAATCAGCATCCTGAGACGTATTAAACATGGACGATGAAACCATAATAACGCGATGTCTAGCGAACAGTATCCAGCGAGGTTGAAGGAAATTACTCTGGCTAAAGAAATGTCCAGGCTTCATATAAGGTTTTCTATGGAAAATTCATGCCAGTAAACATACTAACATTTACATGGTCCAAAGTTTTATACTAGTAGAGAGCACCTTTAAGGAGAAACTTCCCACAGGCAACTTTCAAAATTGTTTGCATGGATCCTTTCTAGGTATAAACCTGGGGCATTAACATCTTCTTCTCTTAACTATATTTTATGCTTGTAGTAAAACTCGTTTCCATTTGCACTTTCTCTGGGCAACAAAGATTATCTACTCGAGGATTCTCTCTCCCGTTGAGAAGAAATTCCAGACTAATGTGCCTATGATGTATAATACAACAGCAACCTTAAATACATCATCCCAAGACCCTGCACAAGGAAATATAGGAATACCATTGTATATATTAACTCAATGTCGACGTTCTCATTCAGAACCACCAAGCTGATAAGAAAATATACCTTTTTGTAGTATGTATCCGGTTGCAGCTGTACCGAAGACACCAGCTAGCACACCAGCAGTATTAGATAATCCCAACAACACTCCCTGTGGAAGGGGAAAGTATACAAAAGTTTCAAATATCTAAATTTCAAAAACATGCTATCAAATGTTCAAACTATTCTGTTCAATAAATGGTCGGGTAAGCCTTAACAGAGGTTAACACAAGCTAACACAATGTAAAAGCTTGAATCTGCATGGAGTTTAGCAAGAAATGAAGACTTTCAAACTTGTGGTTCTAAATATGCCATAGCATTTGTGCCACAACAAAACTTCTGAAACTTGCATGTTATAGCAGTTGTGTGGTTATAAAAGCTTCTCATTTAATGGTAAAAGTGGGAAATGTGAAGTTAATTGTTTCCAATCATTCTTCTTGAAACGGATTAAGAAAGAAACCGTGTCCCATAAACTGGAACGAGGGGAGTAGTAGTTAACAGTGCTCAGACAAGAACTTCCAGTAATGGTGACAAGATAAAAGTCCACAAGTTGCATCGTGGGAGCCAGTTACCTACTAACCAGGGGAAAAAAATAGGAGAAACAATTCCAGACACGGGATTCAACATTTTAAAACTTTTCTTTTTCACTTTGCCATGTATATAAAGTAGAAGTACTTACAGCGTAACGTGGTCCAATGTCTTGGTGATTAGAGTAGAGGCCAGATTGAGAGAAGGCATCCGATCCCTGCAAACAGCTCAAATTATTATTTAAATCAACAGACTCGCAAGAATCTCCCAAAAGTATGTCATTCCATTATCTATGGCACCGACCTGACTGCATGCCATGCATAGTACTGCCAACGCAGGAGTCTTCACATGGCTTAATTGTGTAAGGAAAAAAGCAGGGCCCAGAAAACCAATCGATTGCATAATCTGCAAATTTGTTTAGGTGGAGTTATTTATTAGAAACAAAATAAAAACAAATGATGCTCACCATTAGTTAGTTAAACTATAATGCTATACACTGTATAAAACTGAATACAAAAGTTCTATTAAGTCCTTGCCTTACGAACTGATGTTATGGAGAATCCTTTGCTCACAAGTGTATCGGCAATCCAACCACCTAAATTTGCAAATATGGCCATGGTCAGCCATGGCAATACACAGAATAGTCCAGATTCGGTGAGGTTGAACTTCAAAACCTGAAGAAATAAGAGGATTGGAAAGTAAGACCTTAATCAGCTTATACGGTGAGATTTATTCTAAATACGGTACCATCTTCTAATAATCGATGAGCATTGAGTCATTTCAGATAATTTAACCTGAAACCTAAAATATTCGACCCACAGAATACAGAGAAATGTTATCCACTAAAGCTAGTAACATAAGAACTTCTAAAGGTATGCAAAAACAAACCAATATCTAAATTCAAGTTGTAGTATTGAGTAAATGCAATTTTCACAAGATTTTTACTTCAGATTCAGCATCATAATAACAAATTCTAGAGTCTCGAAGATTCTGCTGATCTAACAGGTTCATGAATGATAGCAAGACAAATATTTCATGATGCCATGACAAATATTGATATTACAATGCCAGAAAATGAACTCGAATAAAGAAAATAGAGCAGAATGGATTAGCCTCCACGAAACAATGCACGAATCTACAAATATCCCCACTTGGACCAAGACAAAGTTTAAAGTTTTGTTTATTATTTCGTTCTCCATTTTCCATGGTGATGAATATGCCAAGAGAAGAAATTATTCCAAAAAGGGTGTATCAGATACCTGACTATAGTACGTAGGCATCCATGTCAGCAGAATAAATGTTCCCCAGTTATGGCAGAAATGGGAGATAATGAGGGCCCAGACAGGTGCCTTTGATAAAATTAGTTTCCATGGGATGTTAGTGACAGGTTCCTTAGAGACACTTCCATCCATGATCAGACTCTTTTCCTGCTCACTAAGCCCTGGATCATCTTTTGGAGTGCTATATGCCTGGAAAGCAAATTAGTCAATGTATAACCAAATGAGTTAGCCTGGTTGGACTCAGGTATGATGGCACAGAAGATAGAACTGGACTCCAAGAGGTCACCCTTTTCACCAGAACCAACAATTAGTGCAGCTAAAACTATATCACGGTGATGTTTCAACCATGAAAAATCATGGAAAGGAAATAACAATCAGACACTTTTGAGCCATTGCATGAAACTTATGCACCTAAGTTTTAGGTCTAAGCAATGATCTTAGAAGCTGAAAACCAATAACTCTGTTGCATTTTTAGGACTTCATAACTAGGAGTACAAAGGTTCATTTTATCTAAAGCCAATTTGATGAAAGGAGTGAAAAGGGGGAAATAAAGAGAAGTCATGAAAATTTTGGAAGATGATAAAAATAACAGAAGTCCAAGATACAGAAAAAGCAGACAAACTCACCTTGGTCAACCACAGTGCAAACCAGATGCTTCCAAGGGAACCAAAGGAATAAAATACGGATGGCCATCCAAACTTTTGGATCAAAATAGGAGAGAACGCTAATCCTGTAACAGAACCAAGATACATTCCACTATACACTAGAGCAAGAGATCTGCTTCTTTCTGAGACAGGAATCCATTTTGAGAGCATATTATTCATGGCAGGCATTGCGACACCCTGACAAGAACTTACATAGTCAGAACAAAAACTGTGCATGTGATAACTGATTTAACTCCTCACCAACTACAGTACTGGTACAAGAGAATCATAGTGTGCGGTGACGCCCCACAATTAATCCATAAGTTTATGAGATGTATCTTCTCAAATCTACTATGTTTAGTATAGCTAAGCATGAAGCAATTGGTTTGTCTTTCAATGTCCATAACCAGAATAGCTTCAGGCAACTCACAAGTTGAAGGACAACTTACAATGTTTGGAAAATCAGCTGTGTCTAAGAATTTGGAAGAAGCAGGGAAAGCGCATATAGAGACTAACCTCCCCAATACCCATTAAGGCACGCACAACAAGTAAGAACGGAAGTCCAAGTTTGGCAGCAAAAGGAGTTAAAACAGTTGCAATCGACCACCAGACAACTCCGAAGCCAAGCACTACCTTCCCACCAAGTTTATCTGCCCATATTCCTCCAACAATCTGCATATAGAACATGTAAAACGATAGTAAGATAATGGTTTATCAAGCACATGAGAATAGCATACCAGAAATTAAATTCATTCTCCTCCGTGTTTGTCCCTATTCAATGGCTACACAGAGTAGAGTTATAAGGTTAGCTTAGAACTTAATGATAGATAAAACCTTAGGTTGAGACATGGGCAGAATACATGACCACATCCATCATGCAATAGATTGATCAAATACTAGTACTGAAACAGGAAAAAGTTCATGCACTAGAAGAGACCAAGACAATGTTAAAATGAAGAAAACCTGAGTGAGAAGATAGCCCCAAAAGAAGGAAGACTGGATGAGACCAACCGTAGCACTGTTCCAGTTAAATTCCTTTGACATCGGAAGAATTGCAATGCTCATGTTTACCTAAAAGCAAAAGTGGAACCCGAGTCAGGACAGTATTAAATGGTCACACATGGTCTTGTATCAAATAATATCAAACAGATGAATAGAAAAAAGTATGGAAGGAGGAAACTCATTTTTATTCAGCTAATTTTAAGAACTTTAAGAGCTTTAACGACTTCATCTATAATAAAAAGCTTGAAGGCAGGGTATCTACAACCTCACAATCATGTTTAAGGAACAAATTTTGATGGTGATCATTGAAAACATAGGATGTGCAATAGTTAATATAGTGGCCATGAATTTTTGCATGTGTTTAAGCTACTGAATCTGTTATGCTTAGATGTCTTAATTTATTTTTATTTTACAAAGGTAAGCAAACTACATTCAAACATCCCAAATAGGCATTATAATATCCAATCTTAGGAGGGGCCATACGAACAGAATGGAAAGCAAAGTATCAAAGTAAAAGTTGGATGAATTACTCACACGATCCATGTTGCATAACAAAAATGCAGCAAAACACAGCAGTACAACAATCCATCTTCTTGGAAATTGCTCCCACCAAGGTTTTGCTTGCTCAACCCCTTCCACCAAAATGGCTTCACTTGCCCCTTCCGATGACATAAGAGACCCCAACGCTCCAGTTATGTCATATCCATCAGATTTGAAGTCGGCTTGGGCTCTATTTACTGCAGCATGCTTTGACTGCTGCTTTTGTCCATCAATGAAACCAAGCTTATCCAGCTTCCTTGGTTGAATCCAACTGTTACCTGAGTCGGTAGAGGAAAGATAGCATTCCCATCTTTTGGTTCTTTGCTTAGGATTGATGACATGAGACTTTCCACTAAACCGGTTGGGTTGAACGACTTCAACATAAAATGGTGATATTGATCCAAAAGATTTACCATCCAAAGGTCCAACAGATTGGGAATGTGAGCTATATATGCAACCCGAGTACGATAAGCCACTCCTTGAGCGACACCGCTCATTGTATAACATATTCCTCTGAACATACTTCAAAGCAGCAAACCCCAATTGCTCTCCATGGTGATGTACTGCAGACTGCTCTCTGCCTGTTGACATAATTCATTGATGTATTAACTAAGGCACCACAAAGATGCAAGATACTAAGAACTGAATAGAACAAGTAGATGACAAAATCAGGAAAAGGCTTCAGTGAAGAGTAAAATTTAGTTTTTGCAGCCACAAGTGCTGCCTAACATTCTGATTTCTACATTTCACTTCACTTCACTATTCAGAGTGCTCCCCAGAAACTACAAGTGAAGTGAAAAAAGAAAAAAATAGAAGACTCTGCCCTTTACTTTTCAAAAACTACTCGCTTTATCCTGAGGTCAACTTATTGCAGCATTTTCCATGACCAACAGGAATCACAAGATTCCCTGAATTCGTAGTATTCACATATCCAAATAATTGAGTCAAATCATGAGTTAGTTTGCATATGTTCATTTATTGGTCCTAATTTTGGAGTCAACATTCCCTTAGTTTCATAATGTATAATAACTATTTATCAAATCATCCATTACTTTACACAAGTATGTGCTAAAGGATAGTCCTTTAGAAAATGTGCAAGAGATTTTTAGAAGCTTAGGGATCAGAGAGGTTACACTGTGAATGTTATCTTGATAGAATAGGTCTTTTCTGTACCAACATGATTCTACAATGATTTTTAATGAGTGAAAGAAACAAATGGTCATTGTTACACATCGTCGAGGCGTGACCAATTTAAGGGGCTGTTTGGCCATGCAATTTGAACCTCACAGCTACCTCTGCTAAATCAATGATTTCAAATTCATATCCAAACAGGTAAGCTTTGTCTTAGTTAAAAGAGTTCTATAGAATCAACCTCGATATAGTCGCTTAAATGAATTCCACACCCAATGTATTCTTGATCTAAATTACACACCTAAATGACCAATGGTAAAATCTCTGCCACACAAAATCTACAATTATCCAATTGCCTGCAAAAATTCCTTCAGATACCTACAGGTTAAACCAAGCATTGAGGCAAACAAGTACTCCAGCACAAAAAAAAAACATACCGAAATCCAAGTAGCCAGCACAAAATCATGAATCTCGAGTCCTTTATGCAACATTTTTTTTTTTTACCTCTTGGTGACTCGAACTTGAATTTCCATCAAAATTAAATATTCCTAATCACAAAAAACTACATTCACATATTCAACAAACATGCAATCCGCCATCCAATACTTCTTCACCAATTCTCAAAATGAACATTTGCCATATATAAATTCACAACTTCCGTAAACTAAACTAATCAGCTAATTGCTAAACAGCTAAGCAGAAACACTTAAAGTAAGCATCCAAAGTTCAAAGCCGACAAATTATTTACCTGAACCGATGAAACCACCGAAATTCCGGTTAGAAACAACGGCGCCGATAGCCATTGTCTCCGGCGACTTCGTTTTCCGGCAGCTACCAACACTCTCAGCTTCACACGAAATTCGTTCTCCCTCAGATTTAAGCAAAAAACTCCAAAATTCTCTCTCTAAAAACTGGGCAGAGAAAGAAGATAACAAGAGGAGTGATGTTCTTCATCCAAATTTCACTACAAAATTACTACTTATATTTTTCTGTTTTTATTTTTCCTTCTTAAAAGCGGGAAGAGTAAAAACATCAGTGGGCGTCGATACAACCCAAAGCAAACAAGGGCTGAGAATATGACACGTGGCGCTTCATCCACTGCGAAGTAGTTAAAATCTCGGGAATACCCCTTGTATGTTTAGAAATCGATGATAACAAGTAGGGGTGTTTACGGGTCGGTTTAAATCGGTTATTGGTCAAAATTAAAACAAAACCAACTTAATTGGTTTTAAAATTATCAAAACCAAATCAAACCAAATATAATATACATTTATCGGTTTGGTGGTTGTCGGTTTCGATTCGATTATTCGGTTATTAATCATACACAAAAATAAAAGAAAAAATTCATTCAAAATGTGAAAAAAGTGACAACAACCCATTCAAAAAAAAAATATATAGTTAGAATGATTGACATTATTGAACTTTCGATCACTGAATTTATTATTATTAAAGCTTTAAAATTCACTATATTGGCTTAGAAGGAAGAGACATTAACATTTTCAGTCTCACAAAGAATTGTCATAGACACTCTTATACATGAAATCAATAAAATAAATGTTTTCACCTTGGGCATTTTTGCTTTAAATAAGTAAATTATAAAGAAATTATAATGAAAACATATATAAGATCTTTAAAATTGTTTATAAAAATAATATATTAAGTATGTATATTAATAAAATATATGTATATAATTCATTGGTTTGGTTTGGTTATTTTTTCGATTTTTTAGAATAAAACCATAACCAAATCAAATACTATCGGTTTTCAAAAATCTAAAACCAAACCCAAATAAAATCGATTTTATTTTATCGATTTGCTTTGATTTTTTGGTTTGAATCGGTTTTTATCCAAACCGTGAACACCCCTAATAACAAGGTGAGACGTTAAGGGTATTTTAGGGTATTCAAATGAAAGCTGCGTGCTATGGCTTTTTACTGAAAAGCCCTTCATAGTTGAGTCTCATTAAAAGGAATAAATTGATGTGAGATGTACAACGTAGGTCATTTCTATCCACTCTTCTTTACACAAAAAAAATCAAAGTTGTTTGAACATTAAAAGACAATATTGAAAAATTAAAGTCACGTTTGAAAATACATTTTAACTTTTAAAAAAAAATTCCAAACAGGGTCTCGAATCTTTTTTTTTTTTTAAAAAGGTAAGCCTTATGTGAAGATACGTAGACTATTTTTATTACTTGATTATAGATACTAGAAATTTTATGAAGTGAATGATTATTTCAGATCTAAATTAAAGTTAGTGGTTTGTTTAAGTATAAATTAGCATTAGCAATGATATTATTTAATAACAGAGTAAAGTTTTATCGATTAAATTATATTTCGTTGAGTTAAATGAAAAGACTTGTTAAATTTGTTTACTCTATATTAAAGACGAGATTGATTTATGAATTTATAGTTAGATTGTGAAAGTTAAGTATGTGATATCATTAACAACAATAATTATATATATTTATATTTTATTTATAAAAGAGGGAGTTCTATCAATTAATATATATTCTCTTGAGTTAAAGAAATATATTTAGTACATAGTGAGAATAAGTTGAGTTTATAATTTGATAACCAAATCTATTAGTGTATGATCTACAATGATCTTTTAATATCATATAATTAATGTGATATGACATACTAGATTGTAGTGTAGTTGAAAAGAAATTTATTAAAACAATTCATTCACTCTTAAAATATAGTTGAGTCATTATTTCTTATAAATCCTTGATTCAATACCACCCGTGTCTTTTAGTCAGAGCTTCAATACGGACTTTTAACATTTTCACATGCCAGATTGTCAAAGGCCAAATTGATGCCATTGGCACACAAATTCGAGCTAGACCTCAACAAGCCTGAGGGGCTAAGATTGAGGAATTTCACAAATGATCCGCTAAAAGTGCTTCATCTTTTAGGCCCAAACTAATAAACAGTAAAGAGAAAGTTAGTCTTAGGCACAAATTTGATTCCAATTAATATTGTCTATTGAATACGAATACAAAGTAACTAATCATGTAACAAACATAGCCTCTTCTTAACAACAAGAGTTCTATATAATGTTGACCACAAATTTTACTAACAGAATCCCCTCAAAGCAATTAAAGCCTTTCTCCCAATGAAATTGTAATTCAGGCTTTCTTGGAGTACATAGACTCCACTTTGCCATCATTTCCACCAAGCAACATATACTTATCCTTCCTTGTCAACTGAGTGCATTCAAATCCAAGAACCCCACCCAACACTTTCTGCACATGGTTGGCTACTTCAATTGATGTTTTCCCAGCCTTGCATGTCATTTCCATTGGCAATGGTTCAAGAAATGTCAATTCATAAGTTGGCCTTGGGTTCATGAAAAAGAAATATGGATCCCAAAACTTCACTCCGCGGACTGTTGTACCGAAGAACATGCTCTGCTTTGAATCCACTGCTACTGGCACGATTCTATCGCTTAATTCTGCAAACAGAGCACTGAACCTCAGCAAAAACGGCTCTCTACATGTAGTCCCTTCGGGGCATACAACGAGATCACCCTTCTCGAGCAATTTCTTGATCATTGCAGCATCAGCTTCGCGATCACGTGTCAAGGCAATGGCTGGAATTGGGGATAAGAATCTCGAGAGCTTGCTCACGCTATATGTGACGGTTGACACTTTCCTCCCTAGTGCAATAGCAACGATGATAGGGTCAAGTGCTGAACGATGATTACACACGTAGAGGTTCCCTGGGGTACCCGGTGATGGTGGAGGTGGTCGAGGGCCTTTGATCACGAGGTTGATCCCTACCATCCCATATGTATAACGAACAATACGCTCAGGGAGAGGGAGATTGAAGTATACGCGAAAAACTCCAAGAGCAAATCCAAATGGCAACCAAATGTAGGTGACTAACGCGTTGAATGGAGTTGGGCGTTGCACCAGGCGACCATCATGGAAGATCAATCTGCTTTTCAAGCGATCAAGTGGTACTGGCTTTGCTGATTCGCTAGGGAGCACCATATAACCCTCCTGTTATTTGACATACATATTTTAGCGAATAAACAACGATGTAGATCACCTATTGATTGGTTCGATTGTTGGTACACTTGATGTAACATAGTGGCTTTTAGATGCATTTATTATTCAATAAAGAAAGACCAACTACTCACTATAACACACTTATTTTGAGACAGAGCAAGTACTACGAATGTCTCAGTTCATTGTGACATACAAGTGAGAGTGAAGGACCACTGTGATTCAGCTAAGAGGCAGGTAGGAAAGTAATTGGTGAGGCCCTTCCACAATTTAATTATTTTCACGTGTTATGGCTCAACAACTTCATTAAATGGCCTAGTTGTTTTAATTTATTGTTCAAGAGTATAGAGTTGTAAGAAAACGTATTCATTGGAGGCTTTTTTTTTTCATTCTTTCAAGAAATCAAAGATAAGGTTCTATTTTAAAAAATATTATCAGATAAATAAGAATTCTTCACGCAACCCACTTGAAAAATAATATGACAAATTTGGTTAACAACATCATGCACTAATTGGAACAAATTACACTATCAAATATAATTAATATAATTTGCTAAAGATAGAAATGGAAAATTTAAACGTCAAAGACTTAAATATTGTTAGATTTTCCTCCATATACAAGATTACCTCTACGTAAGATTCATACTGACAGAATTTCAGTATACTAATCTAAAAATGTTGCAAATATGTACATATTTAAGAAAATAAAGTTATACTCCTTCCTAGTGGCGTAGCCATAAATAGCTTAGAGTGTCAGTTTAACATTATACGTCAAAAAATTATTTTACGTATATAAAAGATTATTCTCATAGATATACATTAAATCTTGAACACCTTAACTAAATTTCTGACTTCGACACCATTTCTAAAAGAATGAAGAGTTCAAACGACTCTCCTACATTTCATTTTATTTGACTCAGGTTGCTTTAACCCTCCTTAAAAAAATATTTATTATACTAAACTAATCTTATTAATTATACTTTAGAAATCTAACTTTGACTACAAGAACTTTACGTAGTTATTACATAAGGCTAATATTAAAAGAAATAATAAATATCACATGATTTGCTAAAATAAATAAGTAAAAAGAAAAATATAATTTTAACCAGATTTTATTTTTAATTTACCCTCAACATTAGTCAAAACTCATTCTAGAAGTGAATAGCAATGTTAATAACAGGATGAGTGTTTATTAAAGAGGAATATATTTTATGAAAGATTTTTTTGCTCAAGATATACTTATTTTGAGACGACGAGATAGCAAATATAGAACAGAGAAAGTATAAATTAGAACAGAGTATTAAGTTGCAATTAAAATCAGTGCTACTAATTAGTAGTAATTACCTTGCAAATGGACATAAAATCATGATCCGATTCTCGATCACCCAATCCAATATCAGGCATTTCTTCTCCAAATTCCTTCAAAATCGACAATTTCTTCCATTTCCCAACCAAGATCCCAGGACTCTTCACAAATCCAGTAGCCCTCTTCGTCTTCGGATTCACCTCGATCTCTGTTCCAAGTACTTTATCACCTCCTAAAAAATCCTTCACAAAAGGCTCAACCATAATAGTCGGATTTGCAGTAACCACAACTTTCCTCTTACACTGATCGAAAACCTCGAAACTCTCCTTCCTAACATCCGTCGCGTAAAATCTCGGGAGAACAGCTCGCGAAGCTAGCTCAATGTCCCGGACTTTGAGTCCGGCGAAGGAAATGTAAATCAGCATCTGAATAGCTAATGCTTCGGATATGAATACGTATGCAATCGCGATGAGAGGGAAAGAGAGAAGGAGGATCAGTCCGCGGAAAAGGCTCCCGGCTTCGATTGCAACTAGCATGAAGTAAGGGAAAGATGAACGGGAAATCAAGAGAGTTCCGTCGAGATCCGCCGCCACGGAGTGGTGGTTCACGGCGGAGGTATCACATGTCGTCACCGACGGGAAG